GCCGGGACTACAGGGAGACCCTGTCTCAAAAAGACCAAAAAAAAAAGAATGAATTTTTCTGTATGAAACTGTGTATTTTAATGAAATGGAGATTTTTTTTAAAGGTTAAAACCTCATTCAATTTTATGTCTTATAGGTTTATACTGAGTACAATATTGTATAACTGTAATAATTCAACTGTAAACCTAAAAATTACAGCCAATTCTGAAAAAGATGCATCTAAGCTCAGAAAATTGTTATTAAATATATCAATGCTGTTGTAATGAAATGCTTCTTCTAAGTATGTGGTTATTAAATAAATAATTAACAAAAAAAGTAAATAAATAAAATACTGAATGACTTTTATCACTCACAGACATATCACCCACTGTAAACTGTTGCTTAATGGCCTACAGAAAATAAAATTATTGAGGAAATTATGAACAAACCATAAGCTTTCTTTATAAGTAGCATAAATATATTACAAATTTTATTTTCTTAAGTCAAAATAAATTTTAAAAAAGAATATATATGAATACACGCACACAAGCCAGGCGTAGTGACACACACCTTTAATCCTAGCACTTGGGAGGCAGAGGCAGGAGGATCTCTGAGATTGAGGCCAACCTAGTATCCATAGTGAGTCCAGGCCAGCTGTGGCTACAGGGAGACCGCCCCCCACCACCTGTGTCTCAAAATGAAAAAAGCAAAACAAAAACAAATACAGGCACACATACTTGAAGTCGTCTTTTTAAAAAAATAAGTGCTTGAAGGTCAGAAGACAACAATTGGTTCTCTCCTTCTACCATGTCAGTCCCAGGCCAAGATTGTTTATTTGTAAGCTATTCAGTCATAGAGGAAATTTACTTAAATCAACTTAGTCCTGTCAAAACTAAGTGCAGAGCCAGTGAGATGGCTCAGGAGGTGAAGGCACTTGCCGCGAAACCTAACAACCTGAGTTCAATCCCCAGGACCCACATGAGGAAAAGAACCAACTCCCACAAGCTGTCCTCTGACCCCCACATGAGTGTCATGATGCCTCTCTCCCCCAAACACACACACACACACACACACACACACACACACACACACACACAATAAATAAATAACAAACTATAATAAAAGTGCAGAAATTTCTGAAAATTTACCATTATCCTATCTTTTATCATAACTGTAATCAACACTGCTATTAAATAACGGTGTTATTTAATTAACTATTTACATCTTTTGAGGGGAGAGGTTGTATTTTTTTAACTAGGGTCTCACTGTGTAGACTACATTGGCCTTGAACTCATAGACCACTTGCCTCTGACTACAAAGTGCTGGGATTAAAGGTGTGTGCCACCACACCTGGCTAGTGACATTTTTCTTTTTTGCAAGTGCATGTGTGTAGTGTGCATATATGTGTATGCATGTTCATATGTGGGGAGGCACATGTATGTATGCAAGTGCAGTTGCACATGTGTGTACGTGCATGT